GCTGCTGCTGCTGATAACAGAACAAGCAAGATCTCATAAGGAGCTCACAGCCACAGGAGGCTGCAGCTGTGGAGACGTGCAGGCAGAAGGACAGCAGCCCCAACAACAGAGTGAGGACGAGGTGGAGGTAAGGAAACAGGTGGAGAGGTATAATAAGAGTGATTCAGATGGGATTTCCAGATACAGACGAATGGTGATGGCTAACCGGACACAGCGGTGGTGGACAAGCAGAAGAAGAGAGCTGTGATACTGAGTGATGGCCACATCAGGAAGAACGAGGACATGGGGGGGTGAAGGTAACAGTTCGGTATCCCCGAACCTGGGCGAGTGGCTCCAGCAGATCCCGGGAATAACATCGGAGATCTCTGTCCTGAAGAGCGCAGTCCTGGGAACAGCTAAGATACTGCAGGACCGTCAGGCTCCCAGGCTGTGGTGGAGGACCCGAGCTTGAAGCATATAGATGAAGGATATAGGTGTTGCATCACTCAAAATATACATAAAATGTTCACAATTTTTCCGACAGTCAACAAATACATGTAGATTTCTCAGGACTGATTTTCTCCTTAAAGAGTTGTAGATCAGCAGAGTCATTATTCCCTGCACATGAACAGCACTTATTATTATTATTATTATTATTATTATTATTATTATTATTATTATTATTATTATTATTATTATAATGCTGAAACAGTATTCACACTATTAAGATTTAAACCTTTATTAATACAAATGCTTTACAATCATTTAAATATGATCTAAATCTTTATTATTATTTATATATTATTGCAGCTTCTTCATGCATTGCTGTGAGCACTGTGTGCTCTAAGCTGGAGAAAGTAATGACGGTGTCATCAGGAAGAACCTTCATGTTGCTGTGATGTTTCTCTTATTGTGGTGCATTTGCAGGGGTTTGTTTTTATTTGTTTTAGATTTTTATTTTGTTGTGTAAATGTTTAACTGTTAGCTTTTGTCACGTCAACATTGTTTCCCTAACACACCTCAGATTGGCTCATTAACACATAAACAGAGAGCAGAGCTGGAGACAGATGTTAGAGTTGCAGCTGTTCACTGCCTCCACTGCAGCCTGCTAGAGAAAGAAGCCTGACATGCGGCTCACTACGAGCCTTTCACAGCTCTGTGAGTGATCTTGGGCATTTCTTTGGTGTGATGACGAGTGTCAGTGTGCGAATGTGTAAGATAGTGGCTGCACATGGACGGTACTTCAGATGATGTCAGGGTTCGTGTTTTCGTCTTTTTGAGATTATGGTTTGAACACTTTTCTAAGGTTTTGTTTATCTCCCTGCTTTTGGTTGCGATGGTCGTGCTCTTGTTTTGTTGTCGTGGTCCTGGGTCGTCCAGTGTCTGTCCTGGTTTTATATCCTCGTGTTTAGTATTGTTCGTGGTTCTGCTGTCGTGTCTCTCGTGCATGTTAAGTTCTGTCTCCTGCTGTCACTCCCCTGTTCTCTGTGTGTGTCGACTGTTTCCTGTTTTATTGTGGTAGTCCTTCGTCCTGTGTTCAGTATATTTCGTTTTGCTTCCTTCCTGTCTCGTCAGGTCTGATCAGTCAGCTGTGTCCCCTTGTTATCATGTATTCAAGTCTTCAATACGTTCATTGTCGTTTCCACGTTAGCAGTTGGTTCTTGTCGTGTATCCCGA